GTGTGATGTCGGAGCTCCTCTTCTTAGTGATGTTGAGGGCACGGACAGGGCCAAGTTGTGCGGTGCTTCGGACGGAGTTTGCGGGGCTGATGCCAGGCATGTGAATGCGGATGGGCTTCACGGTGTGCTTGGGGTCGATTGAAGGTACAGGTGGTGTCTCCATGCTGGGTGTCTCTGCTGGGCTGTTGGTCGCAGTCGACTTGACGCTGACGACAGCTGCCTTGCCGCGTACGATGGTCTGAGCTGGGAGAGGAGATACAATGGCGTTTTGCCGGTACATGGTCGATGCAACGCTGCCTCGTTGGGCGAGACTGGGAGCGATGCTTGTGCGGCCGGCGGTGCTGGCAGACATCATGGAGTCGCGGAAGTCGGGAACGAAGAAGTGCTGGTCGGCGGTCGAGTACGGGGTGCTCATGCCAGACGAAGGCGACATGGCAGGAATCGGAGGCACGGGAGGGACGAGCAGGTCGGGCGATCCGGGGCCTGAGCGGTTGGTGACGCCGGGGATGTAGGCGATCTGGATGATGTTGGAGGCGCGGGTGAGGACGGACGAGGCCATCGAAGCAACGGTGTGTGTGGACGCGCGCGCGCTCCGCCGTGACTGGAAGTCGTTCTCGGCCTTCTCTTGCGCCGTCATGTCGACATCCTGCCATTCGCTGCGCTGCGACATGGGCCGCCTCTTTCCCTTTAGGCAGTACTTCCATACGATGAATGTGAGAATGGCGATGAAGGCGATTCCGCCGATGACTCCACCGGCAATGGCACCGACGTTTGGCTTGCTAGCAGGAGCGTCGCCTGCCGTGGGGTCGGGCTGGCAGCCGACGGAGGCGCACTGGTCGCATGTTCGTGAGTTCTGGACGCAGACCTCGTTGGCTCTGCACTTGATGCCCTCGCAGGACAGTGCAGCCGTCTCACATGCGACGCATCGCTTTTCTATCCGGAAGACATTCTCAGCGTCTGGCATCGTGTTAGCGGGCTGTCATATGCAGTCACGTCGCTGCAGGGTCGCAGATCGTACCTCTGAGCGCACGGATGGACATGGCGACGGTGGATGGGGTGGTTAGGGGATCAGCAACCCCAGGTGAAGAAGCAACGAGGGCCAGCTGTCAGCTATGGGCGCACCCGGTGGTGTGCGACGCGGATCGTGAAGGTGTCGTACGGCGGAAATAGCACGGTGCGACGGTTTTGAGCGGTTCGAGTGCCTGGCGACGGGGACAAAGAAAGCAGGCGAGAATAGACGGCGCTACGGAGAATGGGAAGGTGCGAAGGGTGGCGGGCGAAGTCTTGTACGGCGGCGCGAAGGGTGGTAACGAGTGACTGGGGACAAAGGCGACGCAACAAAGAAGCAAAAGCGGTGATGCGGCGCAAAGGTGGTGAGGAACCTGAGGACGAGGGCGCAGTAGCGTGGTCAGACGGGCGTGGCTCTTGGGTGTTGGGGCGCCGGCTGGGGTGGGCCGCGCGTGTTTCGTCCCTGCGAGCTGGGGCCTGAGGGTGAGGTGTGCCGACGGGCGACAATGTCGATGAGCACGCGAAAATGTCCGAAACGCTCTTTCTTTTTGTCGCTGCCTCAGAGCTGCGATCGTCGTGCACTCGACCTGGCCGTTGCGGAGGGGGAGACTGTTACAGACACTGTTGCTGCTCTCTTTGAAGCACCTGACTGGGGACCTAAGCCACGGCCGTTCTGGGCCAAGCGGCCCTCGTGTGCATAACCTTAATCTATTTATTGCAGCCTCAACCGGGCGACCGAACGCCTCCAGCTGCCTCACCACCAGCGCCCATATCACGGCCTCGCCCGGCCTCATCTATTCACATTCCGCGCATCGCTTTCTTTCATCTGCTCTCGCACGCCGCTGCACAGATTTGCACTCATCTGCTGCCGGCGCTGACCGGGACTTGCTGACCTCAGGTACGGGATCCAGCCGCTAGCAGAGCCTCCCGCACCGTCATTGGCCCTTCGCTCTTGGGTAAATAGTCAATTGCGCGTCTAGATTCATCTCTCCGCAGCGGCCAATATATCGAGCATCCACCTTATCTCCCACCACGTGCAGCCTCCTTCACCCATCCATACTACTGGATACTACTCCCAACGGCTTACCCATTCACGGCGACACCTCCAACTCCGCGCAAGCCACTTCAAGCCTCAGGCTACATGTATCCGTTTCCTCTCACAGAAACATGTCAGCCAAGCTCCACCCACCTGCAACACTTCTCTGGTCGAGCACCTGTCAGGTCCAACACCGCCGCAGGTATCGCACCAGCACGACTGCTGCCCGCCTGATGTGCCAGGCACACTGGCTGCCCTACTAACATGCTTGCGAAACACGACGAACCACGGCCGACCATATTTACCCTTTTCTGTGGGGTTAACCCGCATCCGCCCTTTCATTTCCCCAACTCAGCCACTCACAACAGGGCCTGTGAAACTTTTGTACCACCATCCGCTGTTATCGCGATGGGTGTATTATGGGGTCTCCCTACCCATCGCTGATTATCTCCCGCTGCTGATCCAAAAGTCGAGACCGTGGCTTGGTGACACTGCGCGCTCACTGGCAGGTTTGCCGTTGCTGACATCCGAGATTTGCCAGACTGTGATATAGGTGTCGAGTAATAACATTCGCAAGAAGCAATCACTACATCAATCTCTCAACCCCTAATCAGAGCTCGCGCCGTTTGACGTCGCTACTGACCATACATCCTCGGCCGTCTTCTCGTTGATAATCTCGCAGTATAGTGGAGGTCTTTTTGTCTTACTTCACCCTCCAACAACCGCATAACCTCGGCTCAATCTTCGCCGTCGGGTGACATCTTGCAGTGTAGCAGAAGTTACTTTTCGGACTATTCAATGCTTCACAGGGTCCTGAGCTCAACGGACTTCCGATCTGACCTACCCTTGATGACGGACGAGGCGGTCCGCCACCGGGTACACTTGAAACGGCTATCTACCCGTGGTCAAAGACTATCACGTCCACTCGCTGTCCGAGGGTTTGACCCCTCCGGCGGTCACTGTTGCCACTGTTCTTCTGTTGCCCTGTGAGCATCGGGTACGATGTCATCTCTGCCTATTGTCCAACGGCGTGATGTATCTTCACCATCTAGCAGCAAGCCTTGCGTTTCAGTGTCAATGATAGACCCCGTGGATGAACCGTCGTAGCCGGAAATAAGCTGCACGAATGGTTTGAAGTGTTGGCTGAGCACGCTGGTGTTGTTTGTACACGGCAAAGTACCTACGCTCTGCAAGAAACACATATACCCCGAAAGATGTTTTGCAGCGCGGACGGAGGTCATATAGTTCATGGTGTACTTTCCTCCATAGCTGCATCTCACACGCTCAACCCAACAAACGGATATGCAAGAGCGCCTAGACTCCACGACGAGTCTGCTGCTTTCGTCTTGTATTGACCAAGAGCATCAGATAAATGTCCTCGCCAATCGCTCCCAGCAAAGCTCTGCACCTGCAGCTCATTCATCCATACCCTGCGCCTGGAATCGGAGATCAAGCAGCCCAAGTGCAAATGATTCAAACGCGGCAGCACGTCCTCCTCTTTAGCAACGCGGCTCAAGATGTGCCACCACGTGTTGTAGGGATCTGAATTCATGATGTACCTCATACTCAACGATCTCAGCGTGTTCTCTGCCGGCTGCAGGAGCGTAAGGAGATCGTCGCCGTTCATGATCCGCATAACGGAAAGTTTACAATCCTCCAACTTTTCAAAGTGGCAATGCCGTGCCATTTCCCCAAACACATCCATTTCCAAGATGCTGTAACAGCTCAGTTCCAAGTTCCTTACATTCCGTGCTTTAGCCAGGAAGCGTACCACGAACGGCGCGCGTGTAGTGTCTATCTCGAAGCCTGAGACTGAAGAGCGTAGATCCCGGAGATGCAGTTGCAGTGTATCCAGCTTCTCGAACGCGTGATCGAAGTAGCGGAGCGAAGGACCCAGCGTTTCCAGCTTGCCGATACTGACTGCGCCGAAGGCTTTGTCGCTGTCTACCTGAATGCGTCGAACCAGCACTTTGGATTCCGCAATCGCAGCCATGGTGGAGACAAATGGCCGCGACATCTCTTGCTGGCTGCTCTTGCAATACCGAGTACAGAACTTTGCGTATTTCTCGTGCATGCCTTCGTACGCAAATGTGATGGAGTCCAGACGTTCCAGTCTTTCGAAAATAGTCACCAGGCTTTTGCGATCGAATCTTGTTTCGCTGAAGAACTTGGCTATTTCTTCTGATACTGTGTAATCGGCGATATATTGTGCTTCGAGATCGCGGGTAGCTGATGCGGTACCATATGGCGTAGCAATGCCCTGTGTTTCTGCGATACGTATTTGTGCTTGCCAAAGATGGATTGAGTGGCGAGGTGTGGCGTCTACGATGAGATGCTGGATAGCGTTGCCGAAATGGGGGTGAGATGTTATTTCTAGTAATCTGGAAAAGGCGGATTGGGTCCATTGGAGGGTGTGTTGGCGGAAGAAACGGTCTTTGAATACATGGAAGGTTTGTCTGCTCAGAGATGGGCTGGTGAGGCGAAGTGAACGGTTGTTTGGGAGGTCCAGGTAGGTGGTTATGTGCTCGATTAATTCGGTGGGCAGGCGTGACATTGCCATCGCTCTCAGTGCTGTATCCTACGATGATCTATGGAACGGATGCTGACAAGATGGATGAGGCAATCACCAAATGTCTGTGGAGGCAAAGAGGCGGGGAACCTGCTGCATGTTGACGATGCACTAACTGTTTCGGGTATCGTACATGCATCATTCGGGAAGGCACGATGTACTGCGCATGCTTGATCTCATTCGTCTTGTAGTTTGTTCTGCCGAGTACCACTAGTATCGACTTTCCACAAGAATGTTTCCTTGCGACCGTTTTAATATGTACAGTTGTGGCAGTAAAGATAGCTCTTTCAGGCCTGCAGGTATCCACTGCAAAGACGAGAAGAAGAGGATTGGTAATGCCTTGTAAACTCCATCCATTGCTCCTATTTCCAACTCCCAATCGCCATTCTAATCGCTATCACTATCGCTATCACTCTCGCTGGCGCTGTCACTGTCGCTGCTTCCCGATTCGCTGCTAGAGCTGCTGGCGCTCTTGGCAGAAGTCGCGTTGTCTGATCCAGAATCCGCGTCGCTGCTGTCATCAGAGTCGGAGTCTGAACTGTCCGAGTCGCTGCTGTCCGAACTGCTCTCATCACTCGACACTTCTGTCCTGCGCTTCCGCTTTCGTGCAACGGGCTTCGCTGGCTCCACATGCTCCATTAAAGGGTTGATGCTAGATCTTGGGGCCACTGCTGGCAGTACGGGCTCAGCGCGACCCAAAGCATTTAGGAGTGCCTCAGCTCGTCGCCTTTGCAGACGTCGAATGAATCCGGCACTGTACTCGTGTTCGCCAAGGTCTGTAATGTCGCCTTCTGTCTTTCTCCTCTTCCGCTCCTTGAGGATGCGCTCCTGTTCTGCGTCCTCCCGCGCGACCTTCTTGGCTTCCGCGTCATTCATCTGGGCGTCTTGCTCGTCGATGTCTTTCACCGTTGCCCTGCAACGTTCGCGCAGACGTTCGATCACACCAGCTCCTTGAAGACCAGCGATGTATTCAACTAGGGCCTCAGAATGCTCGTTAGGGATGCGAAAGATGTTTAGGGCGTTATCAACAACGTCGTTTTGTTTCGCTTTGTTGAACTTCCAGTTGTCGCGATCGTAGTGGTACTGCCTGAGATAGGCAATGTATACCGAAGGATCCTTCTTCTTTCCCTTTGGCGCAGCTGCAGATGCAGGTGTAGATTTCGCCTCGGCAGGCTTCGACGTAGGCTTCGGTGCTGCTTGTGGTGTCGGCTTTGGCTGCGGTTTCGACTTCTCTTCTAGTTCAGCATCTGGGATCTTCGAACTGGCGGCTTCCTTGGGTTCTGCTTCTGGCGCTGGTTTCTTGTCTAGTTGTCCGTTCCTCCTCGCCGTCTTCTGCTCCTCAGCAATGATTGAATGGAGTACAAAGTTGGAGACTTCTGGTGGCTGGGAGACGGGTCCAGTTCCCTTCTGTTCGGCAACCCAGGCTTTGAAATAATCCTGGCCCGTATTCCCGTCGGACCGTTTGGTATCGGGGGTGAATGCGACTGACTTTCTCTGGTCTGCCAGTGGGGGTGAGTCAGAGGGCTCCTTGCGGCTGGATTTCTTGGGGAGCTTTTGTGGTGTTGTGGCGGCGGCTGGGCTGGCGTGGTCCAACTCAGTCGACGCAAGTAAAGTTGGACGCGCTGTCGCGTACGCTGGCTCGTGATGTGGGTGAGTGGAGCTTGGCTTGGGACGCGTCTTAGGCTGAGAATCACCCTCTTTTTCTTCTCTCCGGCGTTTGGCTGGCTTCTCTTTCTTCTTTCGATAATTCGGATCTCCTCCTTTGAACGGCTTGTTTGTTGCTGGAGTCTGTTCCGTAGGAGCCTCTGGCTCGACATCAAAAGTCACGACTGGAAATTCGGAACTAGTAGCTCCGTTGACGTCGCTTTCCGTGGCCTTAACCCGACTCTTCTTGGGATCCTGTTGATGATCCTCAGCTGCCTCATGTTGGTGTTTCCGTTTGCCAAGCTTTGAGTCTTTGCCATTTACGGCACGCTTCTGGGATGGCAAAGATTGCGCACGATAGTCTGTAGTTGTTTGGTGGTCGATCGATGGTGTTTTATGTTCAGGTACGGCGTCTCCGGACTCGGCCTCTTCTTCGTGCCTCAGTTTGAGCCCTAGCCGTCTCCAAGCCGGGATGTAGCCCGGTTCAAACACATTAGCCATGATCAGATGCGGAATATGGATATCTGTATCAAAGAGTTAAATCGCATCGCGCATGACCGAATCAGCTGGAGCAGAGCGTCCTGTCAGGAGGGAAAGGTCGAATGAGAGGTCGCAGGCAGAGAATTTCGGGGCTGATCTAGGAAGGCACAGACCAAGTGACGGCGATCCCAGAGCTCCAGGCCACAAGCAACGCGTGTAGTGACAGCCAACGCCGACAACCTCGCCTTCAACCCCCAGACCGCGCCCACCGAGCTTACGCAAATCTCCGGAACCCGTTGCTGCAGCTGAAGCCGCCAATTACAAATACACAGAATCACCACCGCCCATCATGTCTGGTGCGTCGAAGCTATAACCTGGTGTTTGCCGCATACATGCTAACAGGGACCTCGTCATACAGGAAGCGCAGGCTACGACAGACACATTACCATCTTCTCGGACCAAGGTCGTCTATACCAAGTCGGTACGCATCCCGAGCTATCTGCGCCGGCCGAGCAACGATAGACCCCGCGACTTGCTGGAGGAGCCACGACTAACACGACATGCAGAGTATGCATTCAAGGCGATTACGGCAGCAAACATCACATCATTGGGCGTGCGGGGCAAGGACTGCGCAGTAGTCATCTCGCAGAAGAAGGTGCCGGTACGTATGGCAAGCACGACGGGCTGCACGAGGTGCTGACGATATGCACAGGACAAGCTCATCGACCCCTCCTCCGTATCCCACATCTTCCGCCTGTCGCCCTCAGTCGGCTGTGTCATGACCGGATCCATCGCCGATGCGAGAGCCTCCGTGAGCAGAGCGCGGGGCGAGGCTGCCGAGTTCCGCTACAAGTACGGCTACGAGATGCCCTGCGACGTACTGGCCAAGAGGATAGCCAACATCAGCCAGGTCTACACACAGCGCGTAAGTGGCGATGCATGAAGAAGGTGCGACTGGATGCTAAGCAACGTGCAGGCTTATATGCGACCGCTCGGTGTGGCCACGACCCTCGTCTCCCTCGACTCTGAATTCGGCCCCCAACTCTACAAGTGCGATCCAGCTGGCTACTACGTAGGCTACAAGGCAACAGCCTCCGGACCCAAGACGCAGGAGGCGCTCAACTTCCTCGAGAAGAAGCTGAAGAACAAGGAGCATGCTGAGGGCAACTGGGAGGAGGTTGTCGAGCTGGCCATCACCGCCTTGAGCACCGTCCTGTCGGTCGACTTCAAGAAGAACGAATTGGAGATTGGCATCGTAGGAGGCCCCAAGACCAACGGCCAGGAGGGCACAGACTCCGCCTTCAGGGCGCTCACCGAAGAGGAAATCGATGAACGACTACAGTCAATCGCGGACAAGGACTAAGGAAGGAGGACTGCCTGTGGAGCTGGAACGGCATGTGGGTCGCTGAGGTATGACTGAGACGAACCATGACGATAACAACAGATAGCATGATACGACCTCTCAGACGTCAAAAGTGCTCCAGCAGCACCATGAATGAAGACGTTAGACTGTACTCTCCTGCATAAGCGCAACTGTGACGAAGCGGCCGGTCCTGGGACAAGAAACATGTGGTGAGTTCAGCCATGACTCCACTTGGTCTCGCCCATGACACCAGATTCCCATACTGCCTCAGCTGCAACGGTCTGCAATAACTCGCGAACTGCTCCATCGACGTCATGCTACTGGCTCCTAGTCGTCGGAGTGCCCAGCACAGCCGTCGCGTGGCTGACCGTGGCTTACCGTGGCTTTCGCGAGCGTTGTTCGACTTTGCGCGCACGTCAACCCTACGCCGGCACGCACTTCCAGGTTCATACTCAGCGGACTACCACGCGAAGACCGCACCACTAATTATAAGCATCGTCCAATCAGAGCGGATGCTGCGGCTGAGATACACAGCTTGGCCTTGATGCCTTACCCGATGCAGCCTACCAGGGCTGGCTCGCTAAACTACTTCGCTCGATGTGGCGCTTTTAGGGCTGCTGAAAAGGTCCAGCACAACGCTGCTCATTCCAGCTGGAGAGCAAACGTAGCGGAGCATCGAAAAATAGGCATGGTTAGATGCAGACGCACGGTTCCTGCATGTTTGGCTATCCCGTTGTAGTGGAGACTGGTACTGACGGTGATGCTACTATGCCGATTCTCACACCTCCTCACAAGCCTCGAGCTGCCGAATGCAAGGTCCTGAGTGGTCTACCAGGCCAGGGCCCTAGTACAGCTGGGAGCTACTCACGTTCCCAGAGTGGGACGTCCTTATGGTAGCGGCGGGAGCAGCCCTGCACGCATGGCTATTCCTACCCTACGCTATCGAGAGCCTTGCTCATGAACACTACCACCACCATCATCATCGTGGATACATGTCTTCTACATGCTATTTAATACTCGCCACGCCGCCTCAATTCACTGCCCATCCACACCAGCAAGCCTAGTTCTCTTCTGCTATCTACGACTTACTTCTTATTAGCCACTTCATCAATCTGTCGCCAGTCGATCTTAATTTAAAAAAAACAGAAGCCACCATGTCTGACGGTCGTAAGGCTCTCCCTGCTCCAGCAAAATAATTCTATCCTCCCAACTTCCCCACTTCATTCGACCATTCAAAACACAAAGGCTGACTTACATATAGTCAATGATGCCCGTGCCATGCGCATTGCAGAGATCATGACCGACTTCCGCAACCTACAACACTACCTCGTCCAGTTACGCGCCACTCCCACAGCAGAAGAGTATTACCTTGAGGGTTACTCTCTGCTACGACAATGCACCAGCGAGGCACAGGCCATCCTACAGACACCCTTTTCTGGCAGTGCCAGTACGGGTTCAGGGGATCCGGAGGCAGAGAAGCAACAACTGAGAAAGTAGGCAACTTCCTCCTGCCTGTTCCCCTCATGAAGGACTGCAGCAGCCAGCACGAAAGAGGAGTCTGACGAGTTCTAGCATCATCACAGACGCCGCTGTGCGACGCTTCCAATGCCAACGCGCTTACCTACGAGCCCACGCTGGCCTGCGGTGGATGAACGCCCGCAACAGCGTCTTGCGTGGCCAGAGGCCCAACGCGAGCCATCTGGGTGCACTCCAGCAGGCTGACGCTACAATGAGAAACGTACGTTGAATGTGCCATTGCCCTATTCCACTCCGAGATTGGAGGAGAGGGATTCAGAAGCGACGAGAAGCACCAGGCTGGGAAGATTGCATGCTAGCTCACTAAGTTCTAAACTGACTATCGGACTACAGGAACTCCTCGCAATCAGCGATGCCTATGTCGAGAACACGCTGCGCGCCGCAGACGCCTCGCAGGGCAAGTGGCTGAATGAAGATCCTTCGCTGGCACAGATCCAACAGATACTTATGACTCGACGATGAGCATTTACGATCCAACAACACCGCCCGGAGCTCTCCATCAGATTGAGAATATTACCGCCATCCTACGAATACGCCCACTCCCACATCATACCGCAGCGGATTCGTCCCTCCGTTCTTCATCGTTTCCCCGCACACGTCTGCTCCGGCGAGTCTCTATTGGCAAGACATGCCTACACATCGCGATTCATTGTTCAGGCTTTTTGAATACTACTCTTCTAGTGCTGGTCACACGGTTTGGGAAGCACATACACTTTGTTTCTTTGGGGTAGCCCTGGATGATAGCCTACTTTAGCGTTAGCGTTGGCGTCGGCGTCTTGAATCATTTCGGTGCATGGGACATGTTCCGCTCTTTTGGAAGGCATAAGCGACCGGTCGGCAGATAGGCATGAGAAGTGATGGCAAAGCATGGCAAAAGCACAGCGAAGTTCGGGTAAAGTTGACCCAGGAACAGTTGTTCGGGCGTTTCCTCTATTCTTCTTCTCGCTTTTTTGTCAATTGCGGCTTTTAGGCTGTATCCCCATGTCCTAGTTCCTTCTTGAGTTGTTACCTTTCTTTCGTCTTCTTTTCTTCTTTTCATGTCAATAATTCTAGTCACTATTGGTATTTCAAGCACGTCAACACCATCTCATGAACACGAAGACGCACACAAGCCTGTTACTAACCAACCACTCATCAAGAAACGAATGTGGGACCTGGAGCGATATGGGCATCTCGAACTCACTGCCTTTAGCGTCGTGCACTAGCTTTCAGCTTGACAGGCACATGGCCAGATCGAACTCGCACCGTCGAATCCCACACTGCGGAGCCGACCGATTATGCAAGTGGATGCAATGCACCAGGGCTTTTACCAAACGGTTGTTCGTAAGGCAGATACCTTAGCGTGGAATCAACCCTATGGACGTCATACACTAGGCAGGGCTGAGTGAGGAGTAATGGAGGCTCTAGCAGTAGCATGGACATGTGCCAATGTGCTTCCTCGCGAATCACAATGCAACGCAGCCTCTCCAAGACCCAACCCCATGGCGCAAAATTAGCAACTGGAAACTTTCCATCGATCGCACAACGCGGCCATCATCACACAATATCACGCGCAATCATGCATCGCCCAGCATCAAATCCCACATTCCCCGTTCCATGCATTCGGCATCGCCTTAACAGACCAGGATTACATCCCAGGGCAGCTCGCTTACGCCATCTTCCCGCGCACTTGGCCTGATTGCGGCCTAGGGGATCGTCGGAGTTCCCGAAGTTGGCGGGCTTAGCGTGCGAAGCCACGCTTCGGTACCAGTACCGGACGAATATCATGTGCGATGAGTGTCGTGGGATCGATGCACGATGGCTAGTTGCAGATGGCTACAGGGCGGGGTGCAGTGCAGAAGGTGTTGACGGGAGGTAGGGCGAGGTTCTGGCGCGGTCGCAGAAGGTGGCGTGGAATGCTGGGTGCGATGGGTCGCGATTGGGTGGGCTTGGGGGTTTGCATTTGATGATGACGCGTCATTTTTATCTTACTGCTTCGTCGTATGAGATGCTCTCAGCAGTTGAAACAATCGTTATGGGTTTCTGCCTGTATTTTCATGACTTGTGTGCGCGACAAACGTATAGCCTAAGGCATACATGAAGAAGAGAATGCGTCCTGAATTCAGAACAGGGCCCTCGTCCTGCTTCAGCTTGGTTGTTGAAGTCGTGATTTATTAAGTGAAATAATCGTGACAGCTTCCAGGTAGCCCATGGTCAGCACGAAAGCCTGAGACAATAACAGCATAGCTACAAAAGGTGTAGACGCCGCTATGGCCCTGCGTAGTGCACCTTGTACTAAAATTTCCGTTGTCTTGTCCACAGATGTACCGAGAGCGACGCGTGATTAAGGCCAATTACATGTAATATACTCGCTTCCTCTTGCTAAGACTGTTAATGCTCCAACACAGCATGCTAGTTCTATGTGCCTTCTTACTTTGTCTTCACGAACGCCCAATCTTCATTCTAATCAATATGTCAGCTTCTCAAGAGCGTTTTATATGCAAGCGCTATTCCGCATTCCTTACTGTGTTATTCAAATCAAAGCGACAACCGTAATACAACCTGGCAATAGAAAACGACTACGCAAAACAAGCAACGACGCTTATTAACCGTGCGCTCTGTCTTTCTACACTAACTTCTGAATTACTATGCCGCTCTGCTCTCGTTCAGAGACCCTCTCAGTGAAATGCTAGATATCGCTACAACGACCCTCGATCAGCTCCAGGGGATAGCCGGGCCCGGCTCGACACTTAATGAAACACCTAGGCCTCCCACAAACCCGACATCCTCTCTTCCTCCGCAGCCAACCAAGGAAACACCCAAAACCATTGAGCAGGATAACTCGAACCCGACATTCAATTCTAAGTTGTCCGACTTTTGAGGGAGACGTACTCCGACTCAAGAAGAAGAACCAGAAGTTGCGCGCAAACATCGAGACGCACAAGAACAACATCAAGGCCATTAACGACGGCATGCCCAACAAGAAGACCCCCAACAAGATTCTTCAAAAGGTAAAGAAACTCGCCAACTGCGTCGAGCGCCAGAATGCTCGCAAGGTAAACACACATCAAAAGTTGATTACAACCAGTCTCGCTAACGATCGGCAGTTAACCTCGCAAGCGATGCTCGAGGTCCTAGAGAACGACGTCGAAGCCTGCGATGTTGACTTCCAAGCCACTGCTGGTCCCCTGTGGACCGAGCTTGGAGAGCTGTGCAAGGCCGCGGAGAAGAACGACAAGGCTGCGACCGAGATCGGTTTCAGACAGCTCTTCCCGAGATTCCCGAGCTGGCAGTTAACCTACCGACTACGTCGACAACTGCCCCAACCTTTGGCGCATCAAGTCAAGCGCATCCGTATCGACTACAGGGAATTATGGGCAGCATTTATTCAGCACTCTTACTAATTCTGGGCGTATTCGTGCATCTGTTAACCCTTTGAGGTTACCCAGCTTGATCGCCGGGAGCAGTCAATCCAAGCTTCCACAACCGCCCTCGACATCATAAACAACCCTGAAGGATACATAGAGCCTAGCCAAGGTCACAAACAGTCTTCGTCAAAGACTGGGGAAGATATAGGTTAGGATCGCATGCGGGTGTCGCCACATAACCTACCCGGGGAGTATTCAATGTTGGTTAACCCATCGCCATGCTTCCACCAGACTTCAAACGGAGGAACCCGCTCAGGGTGCGACCTTTCCAAGATTTCGATGACGCCGCCGGACCGCCCTCCAATGCCCGAAACAGGCTCGTGAACATGGTCCATGAGACTGGAGGGTTGAACCCAACGTGGAGGAGAAAGAACATTGAGGCATATATCGCCCCCAAAGAAGATGACGAACAGAAGCCTTCGAAGAGGAAGCGCAAGAACAAGAACAAGAAGACGAAAGAGGCAAAGGACGTGAGTCCCGCACTTCTGAAAAGTCAGTATGACTTGCTGTGGAGTCTGATACAGGAAGGGCTTCGGGTTGGATCAGATGATCACACAACGGAGTCGGGGATGGGTTTTGCAACACCATCGGAGCTTACCAATGCGAAAGAGCCCATCGTTCTCGACCCACATCAACGCCATGCTATCCATAGGGCCCTCCAGAGATTGCAGGCATGCCATCATGGAACCATTGTGGCATACGGCATGGGTATTGGCAAGACGCTGGTAGCCGTAGGATTGTACGCCGTCTTGAAGCAAGACTTTGCCATGCATGGGCGTGATTGGTCCTTGATTGACAAGACAACTTTGGACGAAGGGCATGATTCGCATGAGTTTGACCGCAAAGTGAGCATACAAGGAGGGTTTCTGATCGTTGTCCAAGTCGATCTCATTCCCTTATGGGAGAAGGAGCTCCAGGTGCACTTGGAAAACCCTCCAAGTGTCATTGTTTACCATGGACACCAGTCGTGGCACCACTCCACTGCGCATACTGCATACGAGCTTGCCGCAGTCGATGTGGTAATAACATCCTATGAGACATTACGGTCAGACTACGAAGATGCCATGGCCGCTGCAGCGTCGCACGAATACTTCTTCAAGACACCGGTTCTCGCACATTCCCCCACCATGGTCGTATACTGGAGGGGCCAAATCTTGGACGAGGCGCATAAGATCGCAAACGACAAGACTGGTGTCAACAAGGCTGTAAATCGCGTTCGAGCGTTGATGCGTCTGCCACTTACGGGTACGCCATTCCTCAACGACTACACAGATATCCAGTCCCAGCTGTCGCTGATCAAGCTCGCGCCCTGCGACGATCCGAACTTTTTCGCTTCTCTTTTCCTGTTACATTCTGCGGCCAACCCATTCGTATAACGCACGTTGTCGGGCGAACTCAACGGCGTGCTTTCCCTGATATCCAAGTCATGTTCTCTCCAGCTGGAACGTGGAGATGATTTTGATGGCGGGATGGTTGATTCCGAGATCGATGTGGAATATATTTGATATGATCATGAATTGGAAAGCTGGGAGCGAGACGCGCAAGAGAACGTTAAACAACCATGGCTTGAGACCTACAAGCCAGGCGAGGGTGAAGCGGCAATAGCAGCGAAGATATTCTCAAGCTCATCATCTTCGCCAGAGTAGCGGCTGTGCACCCCAAATGTGCTGACGCGGGTCACGGAGAGAACAGAATTGTCAGAATCGATGTTCGGAAGTTGATGGTGATGCATGTGAAGACTTCCTTCCAGATGAGATCGGACTCTCAAGGCGGATCAGTGGGGCAATGACGTCATAGCGAGCGGACCTTGCGACGCGTTCGTTTTGATCATGTATTCCCTCCGACTCTACCTATCTTACAATCCAGGTTTTGTTCAAAACAGCCGTTTTTCAACATCCTCAATCGTACCCCCATGCTCTATTGACATATGTAGTTGGTCGCTGTGCTCAGCCTGACTTGCCAACAGCTCTTATCCTACCGCCCCAAAACCACAGCACTGCACTTGCTGGTAATCCAAAACCAATCGAGGCGAAACCCAATGCGCTGTTACCCCAACCATATCCCAGACTCTTGTACATGTCGGGCGCAAAAATCGGAAAGACGAATGCGAGGCCATACGAAACCGAACGAATTGCTGCACCGGAGGAAGCTGCGAACTGGCCAAACTCCTCAATCTGGTATGCGATGCTTGCTTGGTTCACAATGAAGCTACCCAGCGTGAAGATAACAACACCGAAATCGACCATCACCCAGTGGATTGTGCGCTCGGCCGACCACCCATACCAGAAAAGACCGGCTGGCATAATGATCATCCCTGGAACCATGTAGGGAATGCGGAACTCAGGGACGCCTTTTCCATCAGTCCGCTTAGCTTGTTTTCGATACGACCAGTCCATGATGCGGCCGCCGAGTTGACCACATAGGGTCGAACCTATTGCAACCGAGAGATAATGCAAGCTGCTGACAAGCTCAGATTGACCGTATTTGTCGATCCACAGCGACGCATAAGTAGCGAGCATGAGTGTATAGACGGCGAAAGACAAGGTCGCGGTCAGTGAGATGAGCCAGGTGATAGGTCTTGTAACAAAGATGCGAATTGGACGCAGGAGGTTCTGCGCAATGCGAGCACGCTCAGCTTTGGTGGTTAGGACGTTACCACCCTCGGCTAAGGCTTTGCGACGGAGCAAGACTGGTGTGTATGATTCGCGAATCAAGAAGAATCCAACAATTAGCACTACTGCGTTGAAAGCACTCATGATCCAAAAGACCCACGACCAATGGATGGAGTGGGTGACAAGGCCACCGATGATTGGTCCGAGAGCAGGACCAAGGAAGGGAAGTAGGGTCACCATGGCCAGCGATTTGCCGCGTTCGTTCTCGCCATACATATCTGCCATGACTGGCCCATTGAGCTGCGAAGAATTAGTCATTGTCATGGCGGCGTTCATCGTTCTCATCATTTACCGTTACGCCTACACTCGCACCAGCACCGGTCATAAACCTCCCAACGATCATCAAGCCAGTGTTCCTTCCCACAGGACAAAGTGTGTTCCAGGTCACGTACCAAGCGTTACATATAATCCAGATTGGCTTCCTTCCCCATATCTCACTGGCGCTTGCGATTAAGAACGGCGCGATGCCCATGCCAAGGAAGTATACCGACATGGTTATTTGGGCGGTAGAAGCGCTGATGGCGAGATCAGAAGCGATGGCAGGAAGCGACGGTGCAATCATGCTTGCAGACATTATGGGTATCAGCTGGCCGAAAGAGAATATGATTCCCATGGTGATCTTGCGTGAAGCTTGCCAGTTGTAAGGATCGGAGGTGTCTGTGGATGACGCCCATGTTGACTAATTTGTTAGCAAAATATTATGAAAGTAAGACATTAACATACTCCGTACTCATTCTTCAACCGCACCAGGCGGTCGTCGGTACCGTCAGTGGTCCAAGACGTTATCTCCGGGTCTTCCCCGTCACGGGCTTCATGCTCGGTTTTGATTATGCCCGGTGCCGGACCACCAACAATCCCATCGACAGCTTTCTCCGGGTCTTTGGAATGAAACATATTAATGAATATCGTCAGCTAGAATTCCACATATCCAATAAACCGTGACATGCTTTGCGTACAGTATATACAATGTTCGCTCGGAGTTCGGACCTACGCTCTTATCAGATCGGAATCAGCTTAGGCCCTCCATGCCGATTGCTGCCTAGCAGGATCTGATAAAGTGTCAGTCCTCCATGCCGCCGCTGATGCTCTGACCTTCCTGTTCCAGTTGGAACGAGGCTGGCAGTAATACGTGTTTACTAGTGACCCTTGTATCAGCCATATAGGTGTTTAATAGACTCGGGTTCGGATACATCTATGGACGATGTCTCCGGCCTCTACCTTATCCATTCCTCAAGACCTTGGCCGCGCTCTACGTATCCTCCAGGGTCGATCTGATGCCGGATGTGGCTGTGAGAAGCTTTGGTTGTCTGCTTCTGGCTTACTGGTGTGTGTTACGGCGGTTTGCTGGCAGCTTTCTAGACAAAGGAGAAGAACACGGTTGGGAATATTTCGACAAATTCTTTCACTCTGGAGCCTACATCATTGTTAAAAGAGATAAATGTAAAGTTTGGTAGCAATAGAGTATCCCAGGTCAACTCGAGGCCTGATTACAGCTGAATATTCTTTCTACATCCTAATAAAGCAGATGTGTGTTGAAACCTCTAACGAGATGAAGTGACGGCAACTTTACGGGGGCTTCGCGGCAAGCAGCCAGACTGTGAGCTTTAACATGAGGATACAAGATCAGTTAGGATGCGATGATGTCTGAAGTCCAGTTACAGAAGGCGCAGTGCAGTTGCTAATGTTATGACAACGGTAAGAGTTCTATCACAGTCACCTTGACGATAGACATTCGATCAAAGACTAATAACACCAGGACTCATCGACTCGTCGAAGGTCTCCTTTCCGTAAAGCAAGAACTCCATGTCGGTGACATTGTGTATGTCGCTCTGATTCCTCCTCCAGCATCTTTAACAAACATCATATCCTCTGTATCTCCTGCTGCCAGCTGTGATGAGTCTGACCCTCCGGGAACATACTACTGACCACCTTCCCCGTCTTCATATCGTAATGTGATCCTGGTGGCAACTGGTTATGCATGCCACCTGGGCTTGTACTACCGCCTGCACTCCCTTCGTTCTGTCTCGGATTGAGGAACTGTCCATGTCCATTTACACCAGACCCTGGCCGTTGTGGCTGAGAACTGGATCGCTCGCGCCATCGCTGACTTTGCTCGTCTTCCCGGGTAAAACGTTCGTATGGACTGGGCATGCGGACGTCAGGCTGAAATGTAGCGGCGCGCGGCGGAGCGAAAGATGGTGGTTCCCATTGACTTCTTCCTGTGGCTTTCTCTATGTAGTACCATCGTTGGCTCCTTGTGTCGTACTCCTGTATCCAACCCTGTGGCACTGATGGTGCACCGCCTTGCGGAGCAGGGCTGCCGGGGTAGCCACCTTGAGACTGCGGCCGGCCTTGCTGTTGCCCGTGGAGGACCGGCATTGGGTGATATCCATTTGCACGCGGCGGCGATCTGGTTCCGCGTCTCTGTTGCTCGAACTTGTGGATCTGTTTGGTGATGTAGTTGTCTGCGCGCTGTATGTAGGTTTCGAATGACATGGTGGCGTTCGTCTCGTAGATCAGGATAGCGCTAGGCCCGTACCGCGACAACGTTAGACTAAACGAGTAGTAGACGATGGTAATTGTGGTGCGTTTCACACAGCCACAACGGGGGCTTCACGCTATATATGCTCTGCCCAATCCCTTCCCCACGGCGTGCGTAAGCCACTCCTAGCCACATGTCATCAGCAGCTCTCCATCACAATGCAGGACTAGCCGCACCAGCACGCTGCAGAAGTCTCATCAAAATGGCGCCGCAATTTTGAAGCTTAGCATGGCTTCTATGGCGCAGGCCGCCGTGTGATTGGCCAAAGCAGGGGCGGTGCGGAAAGCGCGGAAGTGTGGCTCGCGTGAGGTGGCTTTCGCGCGTCGCTAATTTGCCGATTTCCGTGGCGCATGCGACAGCGAGGGATGTGACACCGAGTTTGCGTAGCACCGAAAGCTATCCGAACCCACAATTTGGCGCATACGAGATCGTGCGCGCAGTCCCTCCGAACCATGAAGAAGAAGCGATGAGTGTTGGTGTCTCGTCGCAGAAATCGTGCTTAAAGTCCATGTCACCATCCTCCCCGTGTCCCTAGATCACTCACCAAAAGGAATGGAAAAAGAAGCCTACCATTTGATGATAGTGCTCAATCATCCCTGGTACCAGTGCTGTAGGGTGAGCCTTTCGTTCAGAACCATATCCACGATCTGGTATCCGGACACAAGCTTCAGGTGAAGGCCAAACTCTCAGATGATGCGAGAAAGCCCCTGTTGACAGCCAATTCCCAGACCGGTTGGTCGTCCCAAATCCAGTAGTGCAGCTCGGCGGCACTGCGAATCGTGCGCACCTTCGTGGGGGCGACGATCACCTGCAAGGTGGAGCGTTATGTCTCGTGCGAATATGAGTCTGATAAAGGCAGAAGGATCGATAGAACGCCAGTGTGATCACTGCAGTACAAGAATCTGGTTATTCTCGTTGGAAAAGATGAGATATTCGAACGGTGTGCTCAGGTAATGTCTCGAAATAGTCAAGCTTGTCATCGTGCTCCTCGAAGATGATCTCTGGTCAATTCGCACAACGGACGACACTCCTGACGTAGCCGAGTATGGATCTGGGCCAGACTGCAGTAGTCCTAGGCAAAATGCATCCCCTCTTCGTATCGACAGAGTCAGAGCAACATTCTCGAACATTGTACGCGCGTCCGGCGTCAGCGTCCGCAATG